TAGAACAACGTAGTATTTTTGAGGTGAAAAATTTTCTTACTCCAGGATATAAAATGGGCTCTTCTCAACAGATCATTTTACACATCAGGAAACTCAAAAACTCCCATAGATTATATCAATGTTACAAGGTATGGAACATTTCTTCTCAAATGGCAGAGCACTGAATACACTGATAAGGCTGTATTGAAATAAGTCTATAAGCTAGCAATGTAATTACAGAAGCCATTTTGAGAGAAAAGAAATAGAGTATGCCTTGAAACAAAAATATACCTAATCCCACCTTCCCAACCCTCAGCTGACCTCCCCATCCTCAAAAGGATGTTTCACTAACCTCCTGATAGAGATCAGTTAAGTTCCAGGATCCACAATACTTAATTAATCTTCCCTACAGAAAATTAAAAGAAGTAGAAGCAGAAAAAACCTCTTGATGGATGCCACCAAGATATAGTGGTGTTTAGATTAGAGATCAGGTCTGGGTCATTCTTCTCTGATGCTAAACAGATATTGATTTTTGAAGTTTCTGTGTCTTGACTTAACTTTGTAGATACTGCAGGAGAGAAGAAAAAGAAATTCCTCATTTGGGAATATTCAAATCTCCCTCTCCAGAGGGAGCATCTCCTTGGCATGCAAAGAGTGCTGATCCCCAGCCATTCTCCTCTTGTCTTCCCTTGTTCCCCTGGTTGTCCTTGTTCCCAAAGCCATTCCAAGCACACAGCTGTCTGGAATTTATGAAACAAATGGACACGTACAAAGGACTAAAAATCTGACCTGCTGTTAGGAAAATCTAGGGTTTTTTGCACAACAGAGAATTAAGTTTGTTTCCATTCCCAGCACTTCTGGTCCTGTTTTTGATTTAGAAATTGCACTTCCTAATTTATAAAGGTCAGGAGGTCAGTGTTGTTATTGTACTATCTTTCCCATAAGCTGTCTTACTGTGCCTCTTTATGTCTTGTCACTGTGAACAAAAGCACTGCATGCTGTTATGTTTTCCAGCTCTCAAGATCACCCATGACCACTAACAACTGCTCAGAAAAAGGAAAAAATATTTCCTTTTGGAAGCTTAATGAAATTTCAGAGTGAAGAGTAGTTTCACGTGCCATCTCTAGATCTCTGAGAATTTATGAGGTGTCATGTTTGCATTATGGCAAACTGTAACATGAAGAAAACAGAACAAACGATGATACAAGAAGAAACACAGAATAACAGAATGACTTAGATTGGAAGTAACGTCAAAGATCATCAAATTCCAAGCCCACTGCCACAGTCAAGGTTGCCAATCGCTAGATCGAGGGCTATATCAGGTTGCCCAGGGCCCCATCCAACCTGGTTTTGAACACCTCTACCGACGGGCATCCACAATCCACATCCTTCTCTGAACAGCTTATTTCAGCACCTCACCGCCCTCTCAGTGAAAAACTTCCCCCTGACATCTAATCTAAATCTTCCTTCAGCTTAAAACTCCCCCCTTGTCCTATCACTGTCTATCTTTTAAAAAGTTGATTTCTCTGCTGTTTACAATCTCCCTTTAAATACTGAAAAGCCATAATGAGGCCTCCCTGCTGCTGTCTCTTCCACAACACTGAACAAGCCCAGCTCATTCAGCCTGCCTTCATATGATAGTTGCACCAGCCCTCTCACCATTTTAATGGCCCTCCTCTGGACCCTCTTCAAAAACTCTACATCTTTCTTCAACTGAGGGCCGCAGACCTGGGTACGGTACTCCAGATGGGGCCTCACAAGGGCAAAGATGGACAATCTCCACCCTGCACTTCCTGACCTCCTCTCTTCTGATGCAGCCCAGGATGCCATTAACTTTCCGGGCTGCAAGTGCACACTGCTGGCTCATGCTAAATTTTTGATCCACGAAGACTCCTAAATCCTTCTCAGCACGGCTACTCTCAAGGAGTTCTCTAAGTCTGTATACATATCTGGGATCACCTTGACCTAAGTTCAGAACCTTGCACTTGTCTTTGTTGAACCTCATTAGGTTCACACGGCCCACCTTTCAAGTTTACCAAGGTCTCTCTGAATGGCATACTTCCCTTCTGCTGTACCAACTGCACCACTCAGCTTGGTGTCATTAATCCTGGTACTGAACTAGTTTTGTTTTTACTGAATAAGAATATGTGAAGATTGCCACACATATCAATTTTGATCCTCATCAGCCAAATGCCTTTTACTGTTGTTTCTTAGAAACATCACTGGCGTTCTGTCAAACTCGTATCTTTGGAACCACAGACGTAACACCACCAAGTGAAAAAGTAAATCTTTTCAAGTATTATCCTGCTTATTCGTTTATCTTCTACCGATGTTCAAACAGCACAGATCACCACACTCAGGCCACCTGCATTTTGGTTGGACTTCTGATGAGAACACATTTCTTGAATACAGAGTAGAAAACACTACTGAGGAATCTTGTAGTTAACGTTACTGTAAGAACAGATAGCACCTCTAAAAATTTGCATGAGTGCAACTGACAAACAGCTGTCCTGCTGGTGATACTTATGTTTTAAGCTAAATCAGGCATTGAAATATAAAATCTATCAAAAAACTAAGAGTTTTGACGATACAGACAGTAATGCTTACAGACACTAATTTTTTTTTTGGTCCATGAATGCTATAATGCTGTTCTCAGAGCAATTTTTCCATTTTCATGACTTCAGGTCACTTGTCTAAGGGAGACAAAAAATAAAGGAACTTGCCTGGTGGTTTCTGGCTGGTGGCTGCTTGATTTTTTTTTTAGCTAGGATGACTTCAGGATGATTCTTTAGAGTTGTCTCCTGCAGATGTATGCATGCAGATATGCCTGAGTGCAACGATTTTAGAGAACACCACCATACAAATTGAGAACACCAGAGGTTATTCATCAGGAAGAAAACATTGACAGAAATATTTGTTCTATGCAACGAAACAGAATAAAAGATCATTTCACTTTCAGCAGCCTCACAGCTTTCTCTTGCACACCCCTCAGAATGCACAGTGAGGTGGTCCAGCACTGGGAGTGATGTCGGACCTGCCAAGGGTTATGGTACAGATGTACCTTGAAAGCTTGATGGAAAACATGAAAAGGTAAATTTACTGTGCATTGCAACAAGCCGCCACATGATACCACTGCAATAAGACCTTTGAATTATTTTGTAATTAAAATCAAGTGGTTAATTAAATTAAATGGTGTGTTATTGCATTACTTCATTTTATTATTATGATGATGAAGATACATCACAACAAAGTTTAGAAACTTCTGTTAGGATAGATATTGACTACTCTCAATGTTAGATCTGCCCCGGCTTTTCATGCTGGCAGCCGTCCATGGAACGAGAACCCAACTCCAGAATACTGCATAGGTCATGCACCTTGACAGAGCCAACTGCCAGCGCGCACACTGTCAAGAAATGTCAAGAAAACTGAAGTTTCCTGATAAATTTGGAAGGAATTAAGAACAGCTAGCTACACAGCACGGTCTAAAAGCTTGGTGCCTGAGGATGGTATCATTAAAATATTTTGAATGACAGTATTTCTCATATAAAATAAGATCTCACAAAATTTGTAGCAGTAAAGCCCTAGCATACCTGCCTCTCTGTGCAGGTAATGTTATATCAATAAAACAATAGTTATCACAGTAGATTGGTTTGTGCTGAAGTAGCTACCAAAACTCCAGAGAACTTACCATCCAGAGAAACAGCAAGATATAAAGCTTGCTCTATAAAGCATGGTCTGAACATGACTTTGCAAATCTAGGGCTGTAGTGCACTTGAATGCTTCAACACACTCTCCACAGGCTCATGAGGAAGAATAGCATGAGCAAGCATACTTAGCTATACCCTGTAGTATAGTTTGTGTGCGTATCAACCAAAAACTTTCAGCATCATCGTTTTAGAGATTGAATGATTTTTGAATTCTAGTTTATAGTAGCTTTATAATGACAACCAACAGGCAGCATTCCAATTGATACATCATATTCTTTTTTACTAAATGTGAACAAAATGCCATATAGGTAGAAGAACATCTTATCAAACATATCCAACAAAGAAGCTCTGGGCAGGGAGGCAAGAAGTATTATCCTTTAAAAAAAAAAAATAAAATAAAAAAAATCAACAAAACAAACAACATCTTCTCAAAGTTAGAATGAGGGAACTTATCAGAGTTTTTCTCCAAAACCTTACAGAAATTCTGTTTTCAATTAAGAGCAGTTGGGAAAACTCACCTTTCAGTATCTTCAGCAGCACTTCAACATTCATGAGATGTTTTTAACGTGGTACTTGTGAAAGTACACGAGAAGTGTAGACTGCAGTTTCCATTAGGCAAAAAGTGAAAAATAATTCAAACCATAAAAATCCAGAGATTTTGTCCTTGAGTAACTTTTGATGCTATCAACTTAATGACATGAACCAGTTTTCTTAGTGAATTTGCTAATTTAGAAGACAATGAGGAAGCTTGTTTTAATATACTTGGTGTAGAGGTAATAACCTCTCTAAAGAGAAAGACAGCTATAGGCCTTTTTAGAAACACTGCATCTGACTGAACTTCTGTTGAAGGCTGAGCTAGTAATAGGTTTCAAAATAATAGGAAATTTTGAAGACATTCTTCTTAGAATAAAATAGTGGAACACCAAAATACATAGACACTCAGGCAAATGTTACCCAACCTTACAGTAGATAAGAGTTACATTTTCACGTATATCACGGGTTTTTTTAGTGAACTGATTCATTGAAAGAAACTGTAAGTAAACAAGAACATTGTCCTATTTTCTATTTCTGTAAGAAATAGCACATGAACAAAATAATATTCTCTCTTCAGAATTATTCTTAGCACTTTGCTATGGCAAATGTCACAGAATGGAGAAGATGAGAAGACATTTTGTTCCGCAATCACTAAGTGCAGTATATTATTTTCAATAACACAAAACACATAAGCTAAACCCCGGAATGTGTCAAACACAGTTTAAACACCACAGCCCAAGCATGTCAGCACAAAGAGAATTACCATGTACTTACCACTGAAGCAGTTCAGGCTTCCTGAAAATTACACGGACTGTATCTAAGGTGGATTAGTCTCCTTGGGAATGCAGGCAAACGCCCTCCAAGACAGTGCATTGCTAAGAAAAAAAAGAAAAAAAAAAAAGAGAAAAGATTAAAAAATGACTACTAATTTGCTTCTAGATAACATTAAGAGATTAGGAGGCAGAAGGACTCCTATACACACTGTGTTACTTCTAGCAGTAAGCATCTGTGGCCAACTACCAACATTTGGAAGGGATGCATGCCTGCCTGCTGTATGTATGCATCACATTTTCTGTTCCAAGGCTTCTTCTCTTTCAACAAAGGACCCCACTTCATATCAATCAGGTTGCAGAAATAGAAAAACCCCAGCACCAAAGCTTTACTTAAGCTGCTCAGAGCTGTGCCAGCTGAAGAATGTTTTGACAAATTAATAAAAGAAGCTTAAGATATCTGAAGAAAATCAATACAAGGATTGACCAGGGTTTTGTGGTAGAGCACGCTCTGGAATGAGCTCATCTTGCAACATAAAGCAATTAATGGGCCTTTAACCTTTGCAGTTCGGTGCATTCAGAAATTTAGGGTTATTCTGAACTTGTAAATCAAGTGTCTTTTTTAACTCCGTTCAAATAGTACATAAATAATTTGTTTTCTTAATGAAAAGTACAATAACACGTTATCTGCAACCTCAGGAAACTAAAATCATTTAATGATATTAGGAGTTTTTTTTTTTGACAGATTTCTGCTCCTGAACTGTCTTGAAATATCTGAAAACTTTTAAGTTCCACCCTGTTTACCCTAATGACACAAAGCAACATTTTCAAAAAATGGTTCTTAGAGGTTTATTAAAAGATTTCTGTATATAACACATTTTAAAATAATACATTTCTACAAATTTTATAATAAATTGGCCTTGATTTTCAAAGGTTTGGCCTTGTCTCATGAGATGACTGCTTCGGATAGCGTATTTGGATGTCTGAGTTATTTTCACAGTTGTTAGTTATTCCCCAATTCTCTGTGTACTTTGGGAAGCAGAGGGCCTGGTAGAGCCATAGTTATTCAGCTGAGACTTTAAAAAGCAAAAGAGCCACTCACAAAACAATCAGCCAGTTTCTTCAGAAATTCTTCTTCAGCAGAAGAACAGAGATATAGATCTGTCTGCTGACCATCCATCATCTCACATAAAGAAACTTCTGGCTATTTTTCTGTGTCTGATTTTCCTGAAGGACAAGGACATATGCTTATTTAAATGCTACTTTAATAGATATCTGTATTTATCTATCAACATATATATATCTATACGCAACATTTCTTCATGAATGTACAAGGAGTAGAAATAATGTGCACAGACACAGGGATTGTTCTAAGCACCCGGGTAAACTGGAATTTCTGATGCTGGCTATGAATTTTGAACTGTTCATTCCTTGTAAGGAGCTGCAGACATTGCACTCACTGATTTCCTGTTTAATGTCTGGGACAGCAGTAATTTGGAGAAACTTCTACATTATGCAATAGGTGGACATAAGTTTATTACAAAATATTGTTAATGTTTTGATTAATTACAGAGTGCCTAACTACAGTAAGAGTGAGAAGGTTAGAAATTGGCATCAGTGTTGAAATCCTTTGCCTTCTCTGCTTTGAAAATCCTTCTGACCCTCAGAGCATGCAAAGCAGGGCACTAATTATCAAGGGGAGTGTTTGCAAAAGCTGTTGCGCATTTCTCAGGAATGTTTGGATTGCAGTTCCTTTATCCAATCCCCATCTGCCTTTTCCATTCAAGGCTGACTTTTACACCTCTGCCCTCTTCACTATCTTTTTCATTTCTCTCAACACTGGTCTTATTCTGTATTTTCTTTTCAAATAAACAAAAATGTAATTGATTGTTTTTATGAAAATACCATTACTGTGCCATTTCCTGCAACACTTTCAATAAAAAATATCCCTCATATTTCCAAATCAGAAAAATTCTAACTATAATTGTCCAAGCTTTCTTAACCAACTTAAAAAAAAAACAAAAAACAAAAAACAAAAAACAACACAAGGAACTAGGTATCTATATTGCATGCAATTATATAGTTTTTGCCTTTACAGAGAGATAAGGAAGTATGAATTTGCTTACTCTGCTCAAAAACTCATTATAAAACCCATACTAGTATCCAGACATAATAACAGTCCTCAGATTTTGGTTTCCTATTTAATCACTTTGGCCTACCCTAATAAACTGATAATACGATTTTTCTCAAGACCATATTTTTTCACAAAACGATTCACTGTTTTTTTTACACAATTATACAGTGTTAATTATCAAATGTCCTTTAAGTACCCTTATCTAATTTACTGTAAACCAATTTCCAGGCTTTTTATTCTGTTTTGTTTCTGTTAGCTTCCGTGAAATTTATCAAAAGGGCTATTTTTATAATCAACTTCTGTCATTCTACAGAAGATTCCACTAGCACAACTCTCCATAGAAGTTAATGTCAGAGAAGTAGAGAAGTTCTACAAAATCTCACATAAACAATAAAACATTTCTTCTTTTTATGGAAAAAGCAAAAATATTTTCTTCACCTCCTTAACATTCCCATATTTTGTTATTGTACACAACACTGTCTTTGCTTTCTGAATACACATCCAACAACAGAATTTAAATCGACTAAATGTGCAAGTACCATCAAATCCCCAGGGCAGTCAGTAAAATTGTAGATCTCATCAAAATAAACCATAAACTTTATAAAGTCCCATGGAAATTGACATATATATATATATATATATATATATATATATATATATATATATGGAAAATTTGCTGTGAATAAAGTTGGGAAGTCTCGTCTGGAAGACAGTTTGAATCCTGAGTGTTCTGTTCATCTGATACTGAGGCTTGTATGTTTACTTTGTATCAGACTGTGTTTACAATGGGTTTCTGGATGTCAGATTAGATAGCAGTAAGATCTGTGAAAGTCTGGGAAAAAATGAACAATTGCCTTCTTATTTCTAGAAAAACCCTACAATGTCAGTAACTTTCTATATCCTAATGACAACTAAATGAATGCTATAAAAAATGTGAGGCAAACAAACTTCAGATGTTTTAGCTGCTGAACAAACTAAATCAGTTCAGAGTGAATAAGTAATTTTTAATAGGTTATTAACACTCCTGTCCATTTACTCAGAGCCTGAAAAAATAAATGGCTAGAATTTGTGGTTTGATGTCATAGATCTATGTCTTATTACAAATATGTAAATAGCACATTTTTGTTATTATAACCAATATTTAGATATCAAATTTGAAGACTACTTTGTTCTTGATTCAGTGGCTTGACATGAACTAACATCTCTCAGTTTCTGAGTAAATGTTCTTCAAAGCCAACAAGAGATTCTGATGGAACCCCTCCGTCACTACTGCTCTTGCACACAAGGACACTGTCCCCTTTCAGGGACAATTCTGATTCCGTAAAGCAATCAGGTCAGCCTAGAAAACAGCGTGAAGAGAGCTTTTGAAAAACTGAATTCAAAATGTGGCTGTTTGAGGAAACAACGTAAGTTGCACACATGCAATTACTTCTCTCCTTTAACTATAATTTTTGTATAAACATTTTTAACATTTGATGAACAGAAATGAATAGAAACTGTTCAATTCCAAAGCTCTGCTTTACATAAAAACATGTATATGTTAGAACTTTTTTTTTTTTTTTTTTCCTCCAAGGCATTTACAGCAAACAAAAAGAACTGAAATAGAACATACGAGATGTCAATAGTTAGCAACTTATGTCCACACACTCAGGCAACTACTCTGGCAGATAAGCTCCAGTAAACAGCAAAGCTCCAGAGGTCTTATGTCCTGAGTCTTGAAGCAAGAAAAGGTTGCTTGGAATCCCCAAACAAAGGTAGTGAACAGTTACAAAGAGAACTAAGCTAGATTTAGTGGGAAATTTGAAAAAGCAGACCCTGGAGCTCCATGCAGATGTTAGTTATATCAGAGCATTTGTGTTTCTTCACATCACAGTTTATAGCTTTGTGAGCATAGTAATTGAAACCTTGGATCCACGTGAGTACAACTAACTAGAAAAGGATGTCTGACTTCTGAGAATCCTTAATTCCAAAAGAATTGTGAGTAACAGAGCAAGCTACCAGTTGCATAAGAGCACTTAAAGCACTCCTCTTCTGAGCAGTTCTAACTACCACGTACCTTTTTGCACTGAAAAAAAGTTTGCCAGAGACTGCTTCTATGACAGAATATCATCGAGATTCCACCTATTAGAACAACCCAATTGTAAATCTATGAAAATCCAAAAAGCACCAAACTTTGTGCATGAAAAGAAATGAATTAGGTTTAAGCCAGTGCGAGAGACAACCTGCAGTCTCATTACTACATCCTTACAACTTCTGAAAGACCAGAGCTTTTATTAAGTCAGTAAAGGCAAAGCTGTACTGAAAAGAACAGGGAGAACTTCATGTTTTTCAACAGGTTAAATTGTAAGTTTCATGTTTTTCAACAGTTTAAATTGTTAATCATAAAATCATTAATTTTACCCCTTTCCGTGTTCTACTCCTTAGAGAGTGAACTCTGGAAGCCCAGATGCAAACAGATTAAATGAACAATTCAAGAATAGCTACAAACATATTTTATTTAGTTTCAATCTAATTTTATGAAAAAAATATTGTTTGTGGCCTTGGTTTGAAAGAAGAAAATCCAAAACCTTTCAGCCTTTGCTTGCTAAGGCTAACAAGATGCATACAGTCTGCAAATGAAAGGTCCACAGGTTGTTGGGTTTTTTTTTCTGAATTGATAATGCCTGCTTCTCTTTGTAAAACTAAAATGCCATTGTCCCAAGAAGGACAAGTGCACGATCATGTATAGGCAGACAGATAAACAAGATAACCTAAGAAGTCCTTGGCGCTTCCAGTCTTCAAGATGCATGATTAGTCTTTTTACGAAAATGCTAACTGAAGATGACTTTATTTGGAAAATTATCCATTTTGATAAGAGGAATAATTCTCAATGCAGGATTATGAACTGCTGACACCATATCCGATGGAATTCAGAGCAGTAAGCAATTTCGACAGGCATACCAGGCCAGAGAGCCACTGTCACTATAGCCCTTAGCAAACCTCCTATTTCCTTCTTGCATGCCAGGGATGGAACAATAGTTTACAGTACATCACTTTTTTCAGTTCTAAATTTTGTGTCACATTTTGTAACGGTTCACTTTGTAATGGATATAAATACAATACTATCCTTTCCTACTTCTGTTAGAAATGCATACTTTTAGGATACTGTTCCAGTGACAAGTGAAGACCAGTCAAAACAATCTTTTACTAATGACCAATTCTATTAACATATTTATCTCCGTGCATCTTTGTTGTAACATACCAAGAAAATGCAAAATAAAAAGTCAGAAGACCTTACAATGATTCGTGGACTTCTTATAATTTGGAGTGTGAAATCAAATAAAATGATTTGCATTTAGCAGCTTAACCGTTTTACTGCTGTTCTTTAACTACTCTGTGGCTCTGACCCCTGTCTCCACTCTGGATGCTACTGATGATGTTTTCACGGCCCGGTTTGGGATCCACCTACTTAATTATTTTCAGGTCCTATTACATGATAGATGTTGTATATCCATTATTCTTTGGAAAAAAAATGTGCCTACTTTAAGACAGGGAAATTGGTCAATGCTTACTGTTGATGCTGTTCACACCAAAGAACTGATGCAGAAATCCTTCTTAAAGATAAAAATCTTTTCTCCATAATTTCTGAGTAGTCCTAATCACCACCATGTGAATACAGAAGCTGCTCAACAATTAAAATTGGCTTGTCTGACAGATAACTCAGTGCAAAGAGGAAATACTGCACTTGGGTGAAAGCAAAGACTGAGCTGAAAACAAAAAACAGTTTTACAGTGTACAGTTTACAGATCAGTTTTCCAGTGCCCTAAATAATACTTTTTAGCTAAACATGCTCTAATTCAGTCAAACTGTGCCACGTTTCCCTGAAGATTCCCTGCCTGCTTAAGTACATTTGAGCATCTTAAAACATTTCTTAAAAGATTTCTAAAAGATGATGATTCAGAAAGTCTCAAAGTAATAGGATTATGTTACCAACACATCCTACAAACATGAACAATTAAATTAAAGCTGCCCTTGATGAATTTAACACAACATGATGCAGACTTTTTTAGCCCACGTTTTCTTTAGGGATGTGAGACGCTACGTAAGGGAAAATATATTGCCTGATAGTGTGGGTAGCATTAGATTTCACACTGAACTTTTTGTAAAGTTCTGTGTAGTAGAAGCAAAACCAAACCAAACTAAACCAAACACAGTACTTTGCTTTGGTAGACCGTATTGCTCCTTGAATTGGTGTTTCTTTCTTCTCAAGAAATATAAGGAAGTCCAACGAATAAAGCATTCAAAGCCAGGCTGGATGTGGCTCTGGGCAGACTGGTCTAGTGTTTGGTGACCCTGCACATAGCAGGGGGGTGGAAATGTAGGAATGGAATGTTGTTTCTGCATTAGATATTCAAAAGGGGGAACTGATCTGAAGAAGCAGAGCACAGTGTGATTGTATTTTCCAACTTGTCCTTAGAAATGGTTGATGTGAAAAAGTAGAAATACCATATATGCTAGTAGCATATTTTAGAAATATAGTTGCTGAATTATGTGATTAATTCTTGCTTGCAAAACTGCAATAGTTTTCAAACGTTCCAAATAGTACAGGTATAGCAATATGGACTAGAAAGCATATTGTAGAGTTGGATAAGAGACCTCAGCAAAACAAACAAACAACTTAAACACCAAAGAAGCCAGGGCCTCTACACAAGGCTGGATTGCCTCGCTCTATGGGTAGGTTAGGATGCAACAGGCAGGCATCAAGATACTCCCCTCTATCCTCCTTCCAAGCTTATCTCTATGCAAGGACAAGCAGACGTCCAGAAACAATGACCGAGTGTTAAATGAGCAAACGAGAGAAGTTAACTAATTAATGATATATGCTTACCTAGCAAAAATTTATGTTTATCCAGTATCCATATATTAGTTGAGCATCAGGAAGATTGTGAACCTCAAATACTCAGCCAATGAGGAATCAGGGGAGAAAGAGATAAGCAGAGTAATAGAGCATAAAAGATGTAAGCTGTTTTCTGCGTGCTCTCCTGCTTGCAGGAGGCCCTCCAATTGCAATTGTGAATAAAATCTGCTTTATCAGAGATACCATCCTGATAAACTATGTGGATATTTCCAACAGAATCTAAATGATCATTACGGTCCTTTTCAACCCAGGCCATTCTATGAGTCTATGATTTTAGTAAATGTATGTTTAATGTCAGCGATAATTTCAGTAAACATTTCTGATCAGTAATCTTAGTAAGAGCTGTTTATAAAATACATACAGGAGCACACTTCAAGAGAAGTAAAGAATCAAGAATTAAACTAAATAAATGAAAAAAAGAAAACAAACATTATTACACTGTTACTTAAAATTCCAAAGACCCTTAATGAAGTAAAAAGTCATGAACTAATCCGAGGGCAATTTAGTAGAGCATTAAACAGAAAACAACAGAATACAAGAGGAGATCCCTTGACTGACTTCTGATACTGACTCCAAGTAGCAGTATATTAAGTTTGGTTTGGGAGCAGATTAAAGCAATTTTAAACCAGAGGTAATGGTGAAATGACAGCCTGATGGTGGAAGAAGAGAATATAGAAACAGAGCAGAATAATACATTATAGAAAACACTTGCCCTTAAAAAATAGCTGTTGTCACAACTTTATGTAAACAGCTAATTCTAAGGCCACTGTCAGTCTCAAAATAGAAATGAATCCTATTTTTAAAATGTAGATGTGAAATAATGTACAAAAACAGATGATCTAGTGTCAGCTCCTCAGGCAGATCAGATAGAAAGCAAAAACGTAATCATCAATTGGTAGGGAAACAGAACTGTGAAGAAGAGCATGGTGTGTTATTTATACCTAAGCATCAGGAACAATCTTTTAAATACCCTGGTCGTGGCTATGTCACTGGTAACTGTGATGTACACAAAGCTTTATGAAACCTATCGACTTAGTGTATGCCCTGTTTCTGCAGTCACAGATATCTGGTTACTGCTTTTGTATGCTCTACAGTATATAACTCATTTCCTTCATTTCCCCACATTTCCCTCAGAGTATTTAGTGAAACAATCTGCCGTAATAAGACTTTAATTTAAAGATCTCAATAATAAGAGTTCTACTGCTATGCTTCAGACACACATTCAAAATCTTGAATGTTTTTTCTTATAACCTCTGTTTTACATTATTTTTTAACAGTTCCATTGAGTCTGGGGATTTCCCAAGGAATATATTCACGTTTCTATATGTAAATGAAACATAAATGCCAAATACCTAGGATTTACAAGACAAGTCATTCAATTCATATATATTTCTAGCCACATATGACTAACATAGACAAGAATTCTTAGTCTGGCCTTATTTTGTAAAGAAGCAAACACAACAGAAAATCTAGGTCACCAATTAAAAACACCTGTCACTTTTCTAGGGTAAAATGACTTCCTAATTATCTATTGCCAAACATCCATCTCATGTTAAGAGACGCTTCTGGGGCTTTACTGGTGAGCTGTGATTTAGCAACGAATTAACTACCCCATGCTACACGTTCTTTACCTCACTCAATGTGTTACAAGGTCAGAAACATATTAAATTTCACTTAACACTGTCCCTTAAATGATGAAATGTGGTATATTATGGATTTTTCTCCAAATCCCGCATACACTGCTTAGCACACGAACATTTTCCTTTACTGGATCAGACAAATGCCACCTTCAGCCCCATGTGCTGCTCTGAGCAGTGACCAACAGCAGATCCCTCAGGAAGAACAAGAACATGCTAGCAAAAATGGGGTAATTATAAACTGATACCCTTTGGCAATAAGAATGTATCGAGTGATTAACAGCTAAGGGATTTCCTAAGCCACAAGTGATGTTTTGTGTTTAATAGCTTCCAAATGTTATTTTTTAATTTTTTTTTTAATCTCCCCTCTGTGAATCTTCCAGGAGGCATGTGAACCTGTACAACCAGCATTCAGTAGAACCCATGGCAAGGCCCATGGCCTTGACAGTTTGAACTACACTGCATGAAGAAATAATCATCCGTGTCGTTTGACAAGGCGATCTGAAAGTTTCATTGGATACCCAATGCAGTTTAAAGGTTGCACAGTCATTTTTTATTTATCTCTGCAAAATCTTCCTTCAGCCGTTTGCCTCTTAGGGTCTCTAAACAACATGCAGGGAGACAAAAGTATGGCACTGCTCTGTGATTCAGCAAAAGGGACTTAAAAAGGAAAAGAAAGTTTTTTTGTTTGTTTGGTTGGTTTTTTTTTTCTTTTTTTTTTTTTTTTTTTCATCCCCATAGAGTTCAGCTTGTTGTCTGTTCACAGTTGGGTAAAAAGAACATGGATGATCCTGCCAGGAGTGAGAACCACAGAGTTTTCAAAGTGAGCGGAAAGCAACACTGAGGCTGGGTCAGAAATGGACAGAGAAAACAAACACCAGAATATTTCCTGTATATTATACTGCAACTTTTTCATTTCAGAATCATTTCTGTGGTGCTCTGTGACCTATATTTTTAAATGATTTTGAGAATCATAATGCAAGATTGCATAATGACTAAGATTAGACCACTGTTCAAGAACTGTATGTTATGTAAACACTCAAAACCTCTACAAGACCCGGAGTGAACAGTTTGGTCTCACGGACAGTAATCACTGGAACATCCAGAATATTTTCTCTTAGAGAAATCAGCTGTTTTGATTATGGTTGTTGGAGTTAACAGGGATGAATCATATGACACTCATCGAAAGCTACCAAAAGACAAACAATAATTTTCTAAAAAGAAAACACAGCAAAATACATAAACATCGTATCATGGTTTATGCATTTTGATAAACTATGAAGAGGAGAGGAAAATAAACTGCTAAGTGGAGTACTCTCTTAAAAATGACCTACAAGCTACCTCATATATGTTACAATTCCTATCTTCGCAAAACATAATCCTATGAGATAATCTTCCTTGAATTAGCTAAAGTATCTTAAAACTTTTAACAAGTTATTTACTTGTACCAGTGCTCCTTCTCATTTATTTCTTTTCTTATACTGAGATTAACCCCAGTAAACACAACAGCAAACTATACTTACTGTTCTCAAAACTGAAAAATGTGATAGGAAATTATTTAAGGCTGAGAGATGAGGAAGAGACGCTGTGGGATTCTGATGGGTTACAAAATACTCTCACATGAGAATGCAGAGTTTATTGCTACAAGCTATGGTAGTGGCATTAACTCCTGCTTTCTCTAGAGACACTTTCTCAGTGGGTAAGAGGCACTTAAAAAGTTAAGCCTAAAACAGTTAAGTTGAGGATGGGAAGGATTTCTGATGCTTGTAATAAAAAGAAATACACAAATGAGTCAGTTTTAAAAAACAGTTTTCTGTGCAATCTGGCATAATATATTTTAACTAAATATTTCATGAGCTATATCAGTAACATGCAGGAAGCACTGTAACCTAGAGGAATACTCTTCTTGCGCTGACAGTGCTTAACAAGCAACAGAGCTGGACTACAACACAAATGATCAAGAAAGCCATCCCCTGAAGTTCATGAAAACATTGTTTGCTATGCATAACCAAGATATTAAGCAGCAAAACACAAGGATATTCAGAATTTTATTATATATTATACTTACTGTGTACTTACAATATTATACTTACCATGATTGTCCTTTTGTGTGCTCTTGTTACACACATGAATGCACAGCACACAGTGAGTGCAAAGCCCCTTGATGATTTACTCAGTGTCCCACTCAAGTAATACCTGAAAGAGAATCAGAATGTGAGGCAAAGAAGAAAACAAACTTTACGGATTTCTGAATGCCAAACACACACATCTATAATAAAAAGCTTGCATGCAGCAAGTAAAACGTTTTTCCTCTCCACTTAGTAAAAACATTTTTGGAAGCATGTTTTGTGAGGACTGGGACACCATTAGCAGAAGGAATAAATGAAAAGGTCTGTCAAATATAACATCTATGGCCTCATCTGAGAACCATCCATTCTCAAGGACTCTCTGCTCTCTAATTCCTCTTTCAAATCTACCTACGTCAGCTGCACGGCTGCCTTCCATGCACTCTGGTTTACTAGGAGCAGAGTTTGGGTGTATTGATAGCGATGTCCACTGAAACACAGGAAGATTTGTACCCTATAAAATAGTTCAGCTGTGCCAGAGAAAAGAATTAGTCAAAATCAGAGCAGTTTGCATTTTTTAAAGTGAACCAAGTCATGAAATAACTATTGGAGAAGCTGAGAGCCCATTATAGCCTTCTTCATACAGACCTAAGAAGCTCTAGCCTTTCCAACATGCTCCACAGAGATGCTGGCCTACTATTCCCTACACTGATTCTCCTTGAATGACTTTCATGTAATGCAGATAACAGCTAAAACTAATCAACACAAAAATATCATTTACACTAAAAAATATCATCAACCTTCACTGTTCTACCATAAGATTCTTGCATTGCCTTTCCAAGTGCTTTCACTGTATTAACTTAAAGCATACATATAAGCTACCATGCTGTAATTCTTACAGACATCTATGTCAGATATTAACTGAATTATTTTACCTGAGAGATTTGCTAATGGAAGAACCAAATGGCTTTAAATAGCAGATCTATGTTAACCTAAAAAAGTCATGCAGGACAACAGGCATAGACAACAGAACTCCTTTTCAGTCATGTGCTTTGTGCCTAGCCTATGTTTGTTCCAAGCCACGTTCTCTACATGAAAACATGGTATTACTTCACATATTGAAACCATCAGCTAAATATATATACAATGTAACCAACCGAAATTAGGACAATTAATTGTTTTACATAAATATCCTTTCAAGCTGAAAGGTACACCTAAATACATTACAATCAAAATGAGATAAATGATGGCTGTAACCTGTTCCTGGAAACAAGAGATGATGAGAAGCAAGACAAAATAAAATTAAGTTGTAGTTATAAAAAGAAGTAATTTATCTAGCGATAGAGAGACTTGAGAAAAACTTCCAGGTGGTTAACAATTTGACTTGTTTCTCTTTTCTGCCCACCTGAAAGTTAAGCCAGAAACTTTGCTTTTCAGTTTGGATTCAGTGAGAATTTTGCCTTTGCGATTGTGGAAAATAACAAGTACATATATCTATGCATAGATACATATTCTTTTAAGTATGTGAAGATTTAAGCTTGCATGTTTCCTGTCTAACTGCATAAACCCAGAACTTTACAGGACAGAAGGACATTTTTAAATAAAAACAATTCACTTTCAAACAAAAGTTTATTTATACTCAGTATTAATTGTGTCAGTTTTCTCAGGTAGACTTTGGTGCAGACCCTTTTAGGATGAAGGGTATTAAGACAATTTCTGAACTTAGTAAAGAAGGTCTGAACCTGACAAATGCATCATACATTTTAGAGGAAAGTTCGGGCACTTGATACCTTCTGGGTTCAGTCCTTCAAAAGCTAGTCTAAACTAGTTTCAATTGTTGGGAGAAAACACTTTCAGAAGAGCACTATGAACATATTGAGAAAAAGGTAATTTTAAGGAGCACAGAGAACTAAAGCAAACAAGAGTAGAGTAAAAAAAGAGACAAGGAAGTCTGAATTATTTAGAAGACTTCTCTTCTGTCCTCTGAAGACTTCCAAGTGGCAATTCAGTCTTCTGCATTAGTAATTAGTGGGACATCTGTTATGTTTTGGCCAGTATGCAAAAACAGGAGAAAGCAAGAAGAGACAATAAGACGAAGTAGACCTAAAAATATTTATAAAGTACATATCTAAATTAGGAATAAAAACATTCTTGAGTAAGTTAATAAAACACATTTCTTCTGTATTTCTTAAGTGATGAGAGGACTATAAAACAGCATCCATAGAAAATAACGTTGGCATTTATAAATTGCAGTAGAATTTTAGTCACAAAGAATTTTCTCATGAAAGCACAAAATTACAGTGACATTATTTTGAATTAGTTACATAATAGCCAACTCTTCCATGAAACTCTGCTATAAATCCTGTTTACCTTTTTCTTGCTTCATATCTTTCCTTGGGCATGACCAAAAAACCATATGAGATTCAATAAAACCTTGTTGTGCAGCACAAGGAGATCATAACTGGATGAAAAATCTTATTTCCGCTTATGCCCTTCTCTGCAATACTCAACTTGCTTCCCAGTGATGATGGATGAGTGCAATACCCAGTTCAGCCTGACAGCCAGGAATTCTAAGTAGCTTGAACTGAATAATGGTGTACTGAAAAAACATGCAATGGAAGGAAGCATCTAACATCAGTCTCACTTTACAAAGAAATGAAATACCTGAGTAGCTTCCCTAACCTGAGCAGAGCCAAGCTTCTGCCTACAAATCCTTACCTCTGCACTGGTTTCCACTGACATCATTTGACTGTGTAGGTAATTGTCCATGCAAAGAGATTTATCTGCAGGTTATGGGCCAAGGTTCATGTCTGGTGGGTTGTCTGGTTTGCACTATTCATCTGGGAGACTTTTTAGTTTTGGATATTAAACTTTGCTGCTCAGCCCCCAGAAATTTTCCTCTCTCATTCATCTCTCCAAATGACTGCTGAAAGTTTGGGGTGGAAAATGCCAGAAGGAAGAAGACTTTGAAAGTTCCAGTGCAAAGCAAGACTTAGACCTTACTCTAAGCACACTTGAACCTCCACCTTGCTTATATAACAGAAGACATATATATTAACAGAAATAATTAAATTCAAGTTTAAAACAAAAAATAAAAAGTGGCAGGGATGATGAACATTAGATGAACTGTTTCTGTACCTGGCCTTTGCAATGTCTGTTAAAATACAGCCCTGAAAGAAATTCTAGTCATACTGTTCCTTCCTGTGTTTCTAGCAAAGCAGTAAATCAGAATGTGCTACTTGGAAAGATAGTTATAGAAGTCCAGTTTTTTTGATGGCATTTACAGAAATTTGGCGCACTCTTAAATTATACAGGTCTCTCTGCAAGTAAAGCCTCATTTATTTCCATGGAAATTACAATTGATACAAAGAATACAATAACATTATTTAATAGAGCAAATTACCAGCTACACGACACTCTTCTTCAACAAAGCCACTAATATTAGATGTGCCTTTTCAGCAACAATGAACACGAGCCTGCATGCTGCACCCATAACAATCTGCATGGCCGTGGCTTGCTTTTCACCTCCCTGTTGCCACTAATGAAACACATCACCCAACACCCACTATGCTAACAGCCACTGTTCAGTCTCCATAAACATTCAGCAAGCATCCATGAATGTCAGTGGGCATCATTTTTTCCACATGAAGGAACTCAATGACACACCTTTGCATCGTGTCAGGTATCATTTTGTTGCACTGCCCCTCTGATGCCAACTGTTCACACAGCAAAATGTAATTGAATACTGTCAGGAAGGTCTAACCTCAGCTGCCACTCCACCATTATCTGCCTCTGCTGTCATGGGCCAATGCAATAAAGTAGGTGGCATCACTTTTGGAGCAGCCCTTGTATAATTATGAACTTAAATACAGTATAAAAAAAAAAAAAAAACAAACTCATGCTATGACGTGATTATAAGTAGTATTGAAAGAAAACGATATTTTAAAACAAGAATTCATTATGATGTTCTTGACTTTGGAAAATGATGTCAGAAGTAACAAAACAATTCATCAAGAATCCCTGTTTCAATTATGTTAGAAAAACCTGCAACCAAAAAAAGACGACCCATTGAAAGCCACTCTTCTGACATGCTTACTTCTATTACTTGTAGAACGTCCTGATGGGAGAAAAGAGAATAGAATTGCTCGACGTTTCTGAAGATTTGACCCATTTTACATTCTAGAGCTTTTTGCATTTGATCCTAACTTACACTTTCAGTGGGATGTTCTAAAACTATTTTCTTTGAGCTATTCATTTCTACCCCAGTGGAATATCACAGCAGAGTTTCTGATTTGTCATTGTGATACTGATAATTTTAATTAAGACATTAATAAGCTATAAAATTAATACTTTCCCACTAATGCTTCACAGACTTTTAGAGATAGAGAAAAAAAAAAGAGATAACAAGAAGCTGGTACTGAGCGCGTCTTCTACAGCACAGATCCTTGCACACTTCTTGAATAAATACTGGGGTCAAACTGTTAATTACCCCAAAGCTGTAACACCTTCAACGTTCATGGGGTTACAGATATGCTGACCAACTCTTCACAGTGTCTCAAGTACTGTGCTGCATTGAACACTTCGGAGCTGGAAGGGCTACCATATCTCAGCTGAAGTTCAGCTCTTGGGGATAAAGCCATCAATTTACACAACATCTTGCTCTGGAGCATTTCCAGAGCAATCTGTATTCAAGACTCTGAATAAGGTTCACGCTCTTTTAACACTACTGCCAAAGGCTGCTGAAGTTGTCAATGCCTACTCTGGCAGTGCTCTCCTGGCATAGGCCTAGGTGGTTGCTCTCCTGAAAGTGCTGCTCTTGCCACCTCTCCCTTTGGCTTAAAAATTGTAGTGACTCAGCTTGCCAAACTAGAACTCTGCTGTGTGTTTTTTGCATTTAGGCGACTGGGCCAGATGTGTCTGTAGTTCTCCCATCATTACAATTGTAAAGGTTGAAAAAAACAGAGCAGAGAACTGATGATTATACTTGGCTGATGTAAGCACTTTCCTATACCTCTGCACCAGTCTCTTTTAATAGCAACAAAGAGCAATAAAGTTCCAGTGAATGAGAAATCACACACAGAGGGAGGATTCACACCTAGTTTTGTACTGCAGTTTCTT